TACAGAAAAACCCGGACAAACTTTTTGGCAACCGGATACATTTGTGTAGTGTGGGATAAGCTTTGTTAAATTACCCCTGGGGCAGTACCACCTCAATTGGGACTTTAAGCATGGGAAGAAGCAGGGAGAACAGGTGAAGGGAAGGCAGAGAAGCAATAGAGAGCTTTGCACCTTTCAGGGAATTGAAAGATGGCCCACATGCCTAGACCCAGGTTCTCAAAATTGGCGCATATTAGAATCACCAGGAAAGCGTTCAAGTCTCGCGATACCCAGGCTTTACCCAGACCAAGCTAATCAAAGTCCCTAGGATTGGGGCTGAGAGCTAGGCGGTTTTGAAAGCTTCCGAGGCAGTTCTAACGTGCAGGCTGAGTTGGGACTAGGTGGACCATTAAGTACAGAGCGGGGGCGACAAGACAGGAGGGAAAAGGGTAAGCTACCGTATTGGCAATTTATTTGGGATTTTTTTCCGAAGAGCATTGGGAAGTCATTTGAAAGGCTCAAAGCAGGAAGACACACCGTGGTGCTAGAATGGGAATGGATTGAAAGTGGATTGGGTACAGCGAGAAGAGGCGGAAAGTTGTTGCCCACATCCAGGTAAGAGTGTCAGCTTGGGTTAGAATGATGGCGGCGGCGGAAGCAGGGAGATGTAAACGCAGGAAGTGTGGGTAGGGGACTTCCCTGGTGGTCCAGTGGCTAATACTCTGTGCTTCTAGTGCAGGGGACCCTGGTTCAATCCTTGGTCAGGGAACGAGATCCCACATGCTGCAACCAAGACCTGGCATAGCCAAAGAAATATTTAAATATTTTTTTAAAAAGAAGTTTTGGTAGAATCCATAGGATTTGGTGATTGCTCCATTGTGAAGGGCCAAAGGGGAGTAAGTATGACAGATGCTCCCCTCCCCACCCCCATGCCTGAAATCAGCAACTAGTGGTGTAGTAAGTGATACCCACTGAACCACAGAACCGACAGTCTGGGGAGAAGCAGGTTTGGAGGGTGCAGGGAGGACACCATGGGCTGGGTTCTGAACCTTTGGAGCTTGTGAGACAGCAGAGTGGCAATTGCATATGCAGGAGTGCCCTCCACTCAGGGGGCACCCCACACTGCAACTCTAATGTGGGAGTGGTTGGCCTGCATGGGTCAAAAATGAACCCAGAGAAGTAGGAAAATGGCCTAAAGCGGGAGAAGCAAGTGAGCAGAGAAGGAGGCCTCGACCTGGAGGAGTGCCAACCTTGCCAGGCTGAATAGAAGGCAAGGAGCAGAGAGGAGACGGAGAGGTGGTGGGAAAGCCAGCAGGGCACCAGTTCCTAAGGCCCCAGAGAGAACATCACTCACATAACAGCTGAGCATTCAGAGGACAGAGATCCCTGTCAGCTGGGCTGAGTTAGGAAGTAATTGGTAAAGTGGCTGTGCCTGGGTGGATAACTGAGGTCCAGTTAGGCAGGGAGGAGGACATCCTGGAGGAAAGAAGAGGAAGGAGGCATGGGAAAAGGCAGAGATGAGAAGTGTCAGGAGGGGGAGGTTCCCCCTCTGCTCCTCTCCTTTCAGTTGTGTCTGACTCTGTGCCATCCCGTGGACTGTACCCCGCCAGACTCCTCTGTACTTGGGATTCTCCAGGCAAGAATACTGGAATGGGTTGCCATTTTCTTCTCCAGAGGATCTTCCCAGTCCAGGGATCAAACTTGCGTCTCTTACATCTCTTGATTTGGCAGGCAAGTTCTTTACCATTATCTACCTGGGAAACCCTTGTGGCTGGACGAATAATAAAGTTGACACAAGACAGATTAACAGGAGAAAAGGAAACGTTGAATTCATGCACACGGCAGCCTCATAAAATGGGACCTAAGTCGTGGCCAAAGCAGGCAACTTTTATACTGATTAGACAAAGAGACAATGCATTTGTGAGGAATTGACAGGATGAAGAAACTTAGGTTTTGGGTGTTCCATTAGTAAAGAATATAAGCAGAGTTTGGTCTTGGGGTAGTAAATTAAAGAAGTGACGAGGTTTGTTTATACAGGCTTCTCAGACCCAGTTCTTTGGCTCTGGTGATGAGGGTGTCTGTCCTACCTTCAGATCAGAAAGGGCACCTTCACAGGAGAGATTTATTCCCTGCTTTTAGGGAGGTACAAAAGGATGTCCCTCTTGCACTGGCCATTTCCTAAGTAACTTTAATCCAGAATAACCAATATGCTATTGTGGCATTTTGGGGAGCAGCCTATCCGGAGCCCCAACAGAAGGAATGAGGTTTGCTGGTGGCCATTCATCACATAGAGATCATTGGAATCCAAGAAGTTTGTAGTATGAGATAAGGTGAGGAGGTAGGTGTGAGAGTTGGATGGTGAAGAAAGCTGAGCACCGAAGAATTGATGCTTTTGAACTGTGGTGTTGGAGAAGACTCTTGAGAGTCCCTTGAACTGCAAGAAGATCCAACCAGTCCATCCTAAAGGAGATCAGCCCTGGGTGTTCATTAGAAGGGCTGATGTTGAAGCTGAAACTCCAGTACCTTCGCCACCTCATGCGAAGAGTTGACTCACTGGAAAAGACCCTGATGCTAGGAGGGATTGGGGGCAGGAAGAGAAGGGGACGACAGAGGATGAGATGGCTGGATGGCATCACTGACTCAATGGACATAGATTTGGGTAGACTCCGGGAATTGGTGATGGATAGGGAGGCCTGGCATGCTGCAATTCATGGGGTCACAAAGAGTTGGACACGACTGAGCAACTGAACTTAGAACTTAAGCAGGTAGGTGGTGACTCTGTAGATTGACTTCAGTTTCCTTCTTTTTTAACATATATTTTTCAATGTGGACCATTTTTAAAGTCTTTATTGAATTTGTTACAATACTGATTCCGTTTTATGTTTTGATTTTTGGCTGCGAGGCATGTGAGATCTTAGCTCCCCAACCAGGGATCAAACCCAAACCCCCTGCATTGGAAGGTTTAGTCTTAACCACTGTACTGCCAGGGAAGTCCCTTCAGGCTTCTTCTTGTCCATCTATTTCCCATCCATCTGACCTCCCTCTCATCCAGGCTCTGTGGGAGAGCTGGCCTTGCTTTGGGCAGTCAGTGTTTGTGGCAACATTATCAAGGTGAATGCCGAGGACAGGCAGCTTTGCTCTGGAGGGCAGTACATTCATTTTAGTGTTGAATGAAATGCTTGTTTCCCTCTCTCTGACTCCGGGCACCTCAAAGAGCCCAGCTGCAGTGTAATTGATGCCCCATTTCTTTCCTTGAGCTTTCTTACAAGTAAAGCACAAACAGGCTTTTGCCTGAAAGGCAAGATGCCAGTGTTATCTTTCCTGAGTGGGCTCATAAATACAGATTCTTTGGAGGAGAGGTGAGTATAATCAGCAAACCAGCCAGCATTTTGCATGTGCAATGAACAGATGTGGCTGCATTATTCAGTTTCCCTATTTGACTTCCCTCCTAAGATGTTCTTCAGAAAATGTGATGTCGATGAACACATCTTCCTGAGTGAAAAGTAATCCGTGCCAAGAGGAGTCTCAAATGTTCCTGTGAGCCATTTGTCGTGTTGGTTACTTATTGATTTCTCTGCCCAAAATGTTATGACGTTCTGTGTCACTTCAAGTTTTCCTACAGAAGTTGAAATAATTTCTAATTATATTTTGTGTGAAACTAATTAGTATTGGAAAGTATGCTAGAGTAGAAAAACGGTTTTAACTCTGCCCTTTATTTTTTCTTTGTATTGCGAAATGTGACATTCATACTGAGAGTGCATGAGAAAATTCACTAAAGGTTGGTGATGAAAATGAACACCTGTGCAGCCACCGTCCGGAGTGACGTGTGCAATGTTGCTGGTACCCGGAACTCTAATGTACACTTCCTCTTTCTAGATTACCGCAACCTCACTCTTGTGCCGGGGTGTTATTGATTTCACTTAGTATTTTACCACCTATCTTTTTTTTTTCTTCATAAAATTGGTTTTATTTTTTAACTTAATTAGAAAAGCTTATTATTTATTTTAAATTTTTGGCTGAGCTGGGTCTTTTGCTCTGCATGGGCTTTCTCTAGTTGCGGCAAGTGGGGCTGCTCTCTCTAGTTGTGGCGCTCGGGCTTCTCGTGGCAGCGGCTTCCCTTGTTGCAGAGCAGAGGCTCGGGGGTGTGTGGTCTCAGTAGTTTCAGCCCAAGGGCTTAGCTGTCCTGCGGCATTTGGGATCTTACTGGACACAGGATTGAACCCATGTCTCCTGCATTGGCAGGCGGATTCTTAACCACTAAGTCCTTTACCACCTATTTAATCTATCATTAATGGTATACTTTAGCTCTCCTTGTAACATACTACATATATGTTTTGTGTCTTTGTGTAAATGCATAAGCCCACAAGTGCTTCCTTAAATTCTGCTGCCTCGATACTTCTCTTTCTCACTCTAGACTCAGCCCTATCTTGTTACCTGTGTAGCTTTGGGTCATCTTCTTTGCTGCTCTTTAACAACCATTAGTCAGAATGTACCACAGTTCATTGCACTGCATGGGTGAATATGTGGACTGTTTTTGGTTGTGACGTTTTCAAGGCTGATAGGAGTATCCTTTGACGTGTGCATAGATTCTACAGGGTATATAGCAAAGAATATATTTAAAAAGTGATGTTTAAAAATTTTTTAAATTTCATTGTTATATTTTTGACTGTGCTGGATCTTCATTGTTGTGAGTGGGCTTTCTCTAGTCGTGATGACCAGGATTCTGATTCCGGTGGCTTCTTACCTGTGGAGCATGGGCTTTAGGGTGTGCGGGCTTTAGTAGTTGCGATCTGTGGGCTCCAGAGCATAAACTCAGTAGTGGTAGTGCGTGGACTTAGTTGCTCCAAGGTAATGTGGGCTCTTCCCAGAGCAGGGAAGGCATTGGCAGGTGAATTCTTAACCACTGGACCACCAAGAAAGACCCAAAAAGTGATACTTAAAATTTTCTCTGGATAGTCAATGATAATACATGCCAATCTAATGCAGAGGTTATCTTATTGTAAATCTTAGTATTTCTGACATAATGGAAAATATTGTTCATTTTAATATCTAATATTTCTAGATACACACAATAGCTAAAAGGGCAGTCGGATGCTTTTGCAGTCAAGAGTAGCATTCAGGACACAATATACAACCTTGACCCAGCTGTCCTTCCTCCCCCACATCCTTTAGTTCTGTGGGTCTTTCCAAGAAAAATAAAAGTGAATCATGCAGTTGATTTCATCAGAGGCAGACGTCTCTTTAGGACTTTTGTCTGCGGGAGTCCTGCTTGGGGGAAGAGCATGTGAATGATGAGCTGTGTAGAGCTGAGGCTATGCCAAGGTCAGGTGAGGCTTTGACGTGCATAGTGAGATTCTCCTCTCTGAATTACTTGAAACACAGATCCAAGTAATTGCCAGATCTAATATTTCCTTTGCATGCTCTGTGGTGGAATTTGCTGGTCAAAGCATCATTATTTCATTTATTGGGCAGTTTGAGATTTTGATATCTAAGTCTTTGAGATAGTCCAAGTTTTCCATTAGCTTTTGTGGCAAGCATTAGTCAAAGAGGAAAATGGTACTTCAATAGTAATTTAATCATTACAGTGACCAACTGCCCAGCTTTTCTGGTTATCGTTAGTAGTTTGAGGAGAATTCTACTACTCTTGGTTTGGTTCAGTGAAATAATTGTATGATTTGTTTGATGGAAACTCTTAGTTTAAGTAGAATTTTTTTTCTTTGGGTGAGCTGAATGGTCTTAAAGGGTATGTGCTTTGGGACACACAACTGTGATTAACTGGAATTTCACTTTATGGAAGTGCTAGTTATATTGTAAAGAAGTATCTTTCCAGCATGCTTCAAAAAACTGATCAGAACAAACAAGCAAGGAAATAAGGGAAATTTGACTTAATTGTAAAAGACATTTTAAATTAGAACAGTGGATCTCAGATGGCTCTTAAACTTGTACTTATTTGCATATATTACCAATTAGTCAGAAAATTGGGAAAGTTCTGGTTACACTAATATTTGAATATAGTTACATAACAGTTTTGAAAATCTCAGTTTATAACAGTGAAATGAGCTCCCTTTTAAATCTAAACCCTATTAAAGCCTTATGCAAGATTCTTTATGTAACTTTGGTTTCCAAGCAAAGCAACCATTCCAGATAAGGTATAAAATCATTTATTCTTCACACTGGGTCTTCATTAAAGCTCATCTGATCTTTTGCTTCAGTGTTTCAGAGTTTGTTTCACATCTCACAAAGGTTTTCTCCTGGGCTGGGTGAAGTTGTAGATCATTCATGTTTTCTGAGCAAAATGTCATTCTGCATAGGAAACATCAAGCAAACATAGCACTAAGTTTTGGATGGAGCTTATTGAAATGTTTTGTCCTTTGTTAAATACTCAATTCATGTAACATGAACTTTATGCTATTTTTTTTAAAAGAAAAAAAAAAAACTAGGTCTTTATGACTGCAAATATTTTTATAACTTCAGAGAAAAACAAAACCCAAATGAGTTAAAGCAATCTGTGTAAGGCTTCCAGGAGCTCTTCATGGTGTGATATTTCACTTCTGTAAAGAACTCAAAGTCCTGGGGCAGTCCTGCTTTGTTCTGCCTTATACAGCTCATCAAAGATTTGAGAGTTAACAATTGTTTCTTTCACTACATGACCCTGTCTCCAAGGCAAACATTCGCACTTTCTTCAGCTGTTCCTCACAGGCAGGCTTCGCTCCCAGCCTTCCTTCTTTGGACACACTCCAGTTTGTCAATAGCCTTCTTAAAGGTACCCGGGCATGAGGCCACTGTCACCAGCATCTGCCTGGCTCAGCACTATAAGCCTGCCCTTCCCTCTTATTTGATCTTCCAGCCACAAAGGACATCACCATGGGTTCTGGTCTCTCTTGGAGACCAACAGCTGATGATTTTGACCATTGGTTTGGCCTGAGATGCTATTTTGTGTTATTGACTTCAATTGAATCTATTTGGGGAAAAAATATCAATAGTCACAGAGAATTGTAGTTTATAGCTTCTTTTTAAAAAAAAAATTGTATCTAAGGTCAAGTATTTACTAAATCAAACTTCTGAAATTAAAAAGTATTATAATTATGGATACATTTGAAGAATTCAAATAGTAAAGAAATATATAAAGTTGAGTATTAAAGGTCTTCTCCATCACCTTTCACTAATATGACTCCTCTCCCTGTTTTCATGGTTTGGCTTCTGTCTTTCCAGGCCTCTTTCTATGCATCTACACTTGTATGGATGTTCATATGCAAACATAAAATTTGTTGTGTGAATTTTTCTGAAAAATTTCCTCCTCATCAAATAACATACTTGGAGACCTGTTTGTGTAAGTATATACACATCTATTTCATTCTCGGATGGACCTAAAGATGATCATACTAAGTGAAGTAAGTCAGACAGAGAAAGACAAATACCATATGATATCATTTATATGTGGAATCTAAAAAATTATACAAATGAACTTGTTTACAAAACAGAAATAGACTCACAGACATAGAAAACAAACTTATGCTTACCAAAGGGAGAAGTGAAAGGGAAGGATAAATTGGGAATTCGGAATTAACAGATACACACTGCATAAAGTAGATGAACATCAAGGACCTTAGCACAAAGAACTATATTCAATATCTTGTAATAACCTATCATGAAAAAGAATCTAGATAGGTGAATCACTTTGCTGTACACCCAAAATACTATAAATCGACCATATTAAAAAAAATCTATTTGATTCTTTCTCACCTGCCGCATAACATTCCAGTGTATGGATGTATCACAATGCATTTAACCATTTTCCTATTAATGGAGATTGGGATTTTCCCCAATGGGTTAGTGTTTACAAATAGTACTGCAACAAACATTTTAGTGCATAGATATCCTTAGTGGATATGTTGGGTATTTCTCCAGGGTAGACACCTAGCATAAAATTCTGGGTCAAGATTCTGCATATGTCAAATTTTGATAACATAAGCTCCATGAGACCAAGGACTTTATCTACTCTGTTTACTACTGTATATCCGGTGCCCCCAGCAGTGTCTAGCGTAAGATATATGTTCACTAAATGTTAGTCGTTGAATGAAATTCACCTACAGAGGATCTGTAATTTATACTTCCACAGACAGTATATGAGAATGCCCATTTCCCCACACCTTTACCAACTCTGGATGTTATCTGTGTTTTAACTCCTGCAAAACTAATGGGTGACTGGTGATAATTTCATTGATTTTTGTTCTACATTTATATGATTACTGAGGCAATCAAATATCTTCTCATTTTGTTTAGCCAATCACTTTTCATGTCTTGCTATAGAACCAATCTTCTCTGCTCTCAGTCTTTACCCTACAACAGTCCCTCTCACCCCTGACTTTGTGCTTTGGGGGAAGAAAGTCACCTCTCATTCAACTCCTTCCACAGAGGTAAAGAGCAAGTCACTTAACCTTTTTTTTTTTTTTTCCCTCTTGTTGTTAGCAAAGAGATTAAGAGTATGAGGTTTAATGTTTGCATCCCAGCTCTGGGATTTTAGTTTGTAAAAGGTACTCAGAAATTGGTAGTTGTTATTAGCCACATAATATTACATATTATGATTCCCATTCGTTCCTAAAGAACTGAGTCTCAGAGAGGAACCTGAACCTGTCTGAACCTACATAGATGGAAGCAGTGAAATCAAAATTTGATTTTAGGTCCAGCTGATGCAGAGGTCATTGGATTCCATCTGCGTGTTGCTCTTCTCACTGCCTGTCTCTCTGGGAATGCCTTTTGGCCTACCTGAAGCCTGCTGCGACAGTCACCCACAGAACCAACCTGAACCAGTCTTTCTTAGACTTCTAGACCATGTAGTACTAGACTCTCACTATTCAGAGTGTGATCTGTGGACCAGCAGCATCAGCAGCACCGGGGAGCTTGTTAGAAATGTAGACTGTCAGGCTCTACCTACTTGAAGCAGAGCCTACTTTTTAACATGATTCCCAGATGATTCATGTACACATTAAAGTTTGAGAAACCCTGGGATGAAGCAGATCATTAGTAAAATTAACGCATCTTGTTTTCCTAATTAGGTCCTGGAGTTTCTTAATGCCCAAAGCCACAACTCTGACTTTTTTGGCATCCTTCCCAATGGCGTTGGGTACTCCAAAGACCCATAGGAAGCACTGAGTTAAAAACTTAAAAAAATATAGGTCCCAGATCCCTTCCCTCCTTTGCGTGATGTACCTCTTACAGCCCCGAGGAAAGCTGTGATGTGCATATATATGCATTTCCAGCTCTACAACACTGCTAGATTAAAGAAAGTCAGATCAACGGGACCACGACTAATGGAGGCGGAGCTGTTAAAAACTGCAGAGGCAACGAACGGGCAATGATTCAGACAAACTAAGTCAGACCTGGGCTCAGACAATTATTAGCAGTGTCCCCAAGCAGTGGAACTCCCGTGAGCCTCAGGTTTCTAAGCTGCTCAGCAATACTACCTGTTTCAGAGGGTCACTGGGAAGCTTCCATCAGGTGAATGCTGTGGAGCCACTAGTTCAAGCCCGTGGTGCAGCAAGGGTTCTGTAAGCACTGCTCACATTCCTCCCTCCTTTCATTCTGCCGCGCTGTGTGGGTCAGCACCAGGGGAGAAGGTAGCTTTGTGTTTTATACTATCGTTCAGGTCGAGGCACCTAGAACTGTCATGGCGAGCGGCCTCTAAAACTGAGGATTTACTCTCTAGCTGAGAGAATCTGGGGAGGGTTGGTGCTCAGAAGCTGAGCTGCTCTAAAGGGCCAACAAGTCATGCAAGAATAGCTAAGTGCCGAAGAGGAGAGGAGCAGTTTAATTTTCTCAAATTGATCATGTGGAGAAATCTGTTGGCTGACTGCAGAGTATGCTTTTAGTAATTGCCAGGATTTTGTATCCCAGGGAGATAAAATCTCGGAGTGCGGCTGTGTGAGAAACTCAGTGGGCATAAATCTGCCATGGGCGGCTGCTAGCAGCGACACCCCAGGGGTGAGGGAGGAGAGCAGTTCAGAGGTGAGGGGCGCGCTGCTCTTCAGCTCCGCTGGCGGCACTCCAGAGAGAAAGCGGGCTGCTCGACAGAGGGCAGTAGGAAAGGAGAGACACATTTCCTGAATACAGTGGGGAGGAGACAGGAGAAGGTCTGCAGAAGCGCAGAACCACAGAAAAGCACGGCAGCCCCGGGAAAATATACCGAGCATCCCTTTGCTCTGCCGAGAGGACTGAGGGAGCAGCTGGACATCCTTTCTTGCCTTAACTCCCTGCCCTCAACCCACCCCTGCACGTCCCAGGGCCCCTGGGCCAAGGAAGACATTCAGTCACACAGAACTGCACCTCCTGAGCGTAACCCGCTGGCCCACAACAGAATTTCCTAGGGCTCTTATTACCAAATGTGTGGTCCTCCATAGACCACAGCCGGTCAGAAGGTCTTCAGGTGGGTCTGGGAATTCTGCATGTTTCATAAGCTTCCCAGTGATCCCTTGGCATTCTAAGATTTGAAAGGTGCCGCTTCAGTGTGAGATTTTGAGATTGTGATCTGCTAAAAGCATTTCTCTGGGTAAACAACAAAGAAGAAATGTCACTTCTAGGTCCTTGCTGTTCAAAATGTGGTCCTTGGGCTAGCACCTGGTGAAATCTGAAAAGCACTGGGCCAGTGAGTGGTTCTCAGACTCTGGAGGCAGGTAGTTGGTAACTGGGGGGCAGAAGAAAGAGGCTAGATGGGAATCAGAAGACCTGGGTGTGAATCTTGGTCCTTCCACCTGTGGCTTTGGGAACTCAGGATGGTCATTGCACCTTTCCGAGCATCTGTATGTCATCGTTGGAACATAACAATGCCCACTTCACAAGATAAATGCAAGTATTAAATTGTGAAATTGCTGACGTAGGTAGATGCTCAACAGATGTTAGGAGGAGGTTGAAATAGCACTCACCTTTGCTGTGTTTCTCCCACTTTGACTCTGATGCTCTTCAGAGCAAGGCCTGAGTGAAGGGACTCTCTTCCCCAGGGGATGATGGTTTGGACTGTATTCCAGACATTGGACCACACCATGCTGTTTTCCCACTTGAACTTGATCATGATCAGTTCTCCAATATCCACATCCAGTGTGATAAGAAAGGAATAGGTTTCATTACTAGTAATTCCTTTGCTCCTTGAAGATACAAAGGAAACCAGACATAGTCAGTTGATTTATAGCAGCAAAGTGAGGCTTAGGGACTTTCAGGAGGTGTTAGATTTGCCTGAATGACTCGTGATGGTCTTTTCTGCTGCATTTCCCAAAGTGGTGTTGGACAGACTATTAATAGAGATAGCAATAGATGTGCCAGGATAAAAAAGGGTTTTCCAGAATAGTAATACTGGGAAAACCATCTTATTTTCTGTGATAGCACACTTAAAAGGTTGCAAGTGTTCTGCAGTGATGAATCTAGTTAACTTCGTTTAGCTCAGGCTTCCTAATCTCTAGCTTAGCACATCAGGAGAACTGCCTCCAAAAAAGGCAGGTGTCTCTGGGCAATACAGCTCTCTGTAGGTTTGATCAACACATGAGAACCACACTACGTCTTCTGTTCAGATCAGTGCTTTTCTTCCTCCCCAATGTAAATAGAAACTTCCGTTAAAACAACAAGTACAGCAATAATAGAAAACCACATATAAAAGTTTGGAGCGAAATTTAAATGCAGATCCTTAGGTATCATTATCGGCTTTACTCACTAATCTCCAAGACATTAAAATGTCCCAATACTGACAGAGCAGTCAGGCACTCTTTCCACTACTTAGAACAATCCCTGCTCCCCCAGGGAGAGATTTGGGATGGTGCAGAGTTAGCACTGGATTTAGGGTGAGACAGGTGGCTGGAGGATTCCCCGGCTCAGCTCATCTTAGCTCTTCCGTCAGGATGTTGCAGAGCACCGTTTAGGAATCCACCCACCCCACTAGACTGGAAGCAGTCTAAGGATAGAGTCCTCTCTACCTCTAGTGCAGAGCGCTGACACATCCTTGCCGAGTGACTGAATCAGTGGGATGATTGAGGTTCAAAACCAGGGGTGATTTTCGGGAAGCTGAGAACCGTCCCTGGAGCGGGTGAAGGCTGGTGTCACTTCTCAAGGAGAGCCCATGCTGAGGGTGGAGATGCTGAAATGAAGCGGCCGGTGAAGCTGGCCAGCCTGTGCAGGAGGCGTGAGGCCACTGCCTGTGTTGTGAGCAGGTGTGTCTCAGGGCGAAGGACAGGTGGGGAGGGTTGGCAGTGCAGGCTGACTGAATGGAAAATTCGTGCCAAGGTGAATGAGACCAGTTTTATTTCCGGGTTATGGTTTTCAGAACTCACTGGAGAGATGCTCAGGGCCTTCCTGGGGGGACAGGAGTGTGTCCTGCTCCTGTTCTTGGCGCTCCTCCTAGACTGGCCGCTCCTGTTCTTGGCGCTCCTCCTAGACTGGCCACCCCTGGCCCCCTCTCCATTCAGTCCCTGTCGCTTTGGGCCCATCACAGATGCGGCAGCAACATAAAGCATGGCTGGGACTGGGGGAGGCCGGGAGGGGTGACAAGGTGCCAAGCGTGGGCGGATGTCCCATCTGATGGGGTGCTTGGGACACTCGTCCTGGGCTGAGGAAAGTAAGCTGTGCCTGGCCCGACCCTTGATAAGCAGAGTGCATCCAGACCCTGTGAGAAAGCTACGCCTGTCCTCACCACGGACGGGGCTGTATTGCGTACTCACAGAGTGATGGGGATCTTCTGCCTCTCCCCTCTTGTTCCGAGGAATGACACGGTGAAAGTTGGTTCTACAGGGTTCTCAGTTTGGTTGATGAACCGAATCTTGAACTGGTAATGATAAACTAGAGGGGGATGGGATGGCGTGGGAGAGAGAAAGACAATGTAAGCAGAAATTTTTAAAATAAAAAATCTTGTATTTTTTGAAATTTAAGAAAGCAGAGAGAAAAGTATGGATGAATAGATACCCTGATTTTGTTTTCTGGGAGGTGGAATTCTGAATGCTATTTTCCTCTTTTTCCTTTTCTGAATTTCTTAAATGTCTAAGAGGACTTATGTTTGTAATATAATAAGTATTATCCAGCAAAAAAAAAAAAAAAGGCAGAAGTATAGTATAGTTGGTATTCTCACTAATTTCTAGATGAAATTCTGTTGCACTATTCCATGTATTTAGCAAGGGTCCCCATTTATAAATGAAAGGATAGATTGCCTTTTAGGCAGCAGACGAAAGCAAGAGAACACACAGCTATTTTCACTTTTGCCTCTATTTGATGGCGTTAGTTTTAGGGTGGGAGCGAGCAACAGCCATGAAATATGCCCTGATGACCACATCTCTGCCTTCTGGGGCTTGGAAACTGGTTCTGTGGGGTTCAACAACACATTTCCTGATAGAAATCAGACAACTAGTTCTAGTACCTGGGCCTAAAATTGTTCTATCTTTTCAAGTGTCCAGAATGTCCTTCTTCTGTGTTGTTTGGAATAGGGAAATTAATTTTATTCTTATTTACCTAAATATAGCCTATATTTAGCTAATAAAAACAAATTACTTACTATCAGACAGGTGTTAACTAAACATTTTACATGGCATCATCTCAATTACTCATCATAATGACCCTATGAGGAGGGTATTGCTATTATCAGCCTCATTTAAAAATTTTTTATTTTATTTTTGGTTGCACTGGATCTTTGTTGCTGCACATGGACTTTCTCTAGTTTCAGGGAGTGGGGGGCCACTCTCTGTTGCAGTGAATGGCTTCTCATTTCACTAGCTTTTCTTGTTGAGGAGCACAGTCTCTAGGTGTACAGGCTCAGGAGTTGTGGTGCATGGGTTTAGTTGCTCTGAGGAATGTGGAATCTTCCTGGAGCAGGGATCAAACCCTTGTCCCCTGCATTGCAGGCAGGTGCTTTACCACTGAATATCAGGGAAGTACTATCAGCCTCATAAAGAACAAAACCAGGGCTAGAGAGGTGAAGTGACCTGCTCAGGGTCACATAGCAGAGTCTGTGCTCTTGGCCTGGAGCATTTGCCTTGCTCAGCCTGCACTGTTACATCAACCAGCTGTGGGGCTGTTTTCAAAATTATCCCACCTCATTTCCAAATAACTGATGGCTGCTTGGACTTCTTTATCTTGCTGTCTCCATATTCTCTAAGTACTTGTGGCACTTTAGCTTTAACAGGCTTAATATGGCATGTCAACTTGATTGGTAGGACCGCCTGGGGCCCATGTTGAGATGGGCTGTGAGACCATGTCTAGGCTCTTAGGAAGACTGCTGTCTGCCTTGGGCAAAGGAAAGGAGATATATGATTACTTGTTGTTATTTGCTTTTTCTGTTCATAGTAGTTGCTTAATAAACATGTGTGGGATGCATGAACTGACAATTTATTTGGGAATATTACGATGTGTATGAACATTAGGAAGATGGAAATCACCCCAGAGAATTCAAAATTGGAGTTCTAAGCTTTGTTATAGAATTCCTCCTGGAAAGCATAGATCATGGAACTAACCACTTGATTATCCATTCCATGCACCCAGCATGTGGAAATTCACCATCCTCATGAATCAGTCTACTTACTCCCAAATGGTACATTTCCACTGGAGGTTGGTAGCTGTACACAGATCTGGCAGCAGCAGTGGCTAGTGGCACATTGCCAACACATCAGCTGCAGGGTTCTGGTGTGCCTGTATTGCTGGGTTTCTGGGTTATTTACACAACTCTAACCTTTGGCATAAGCCCATTTTCCCGTTTGGGTTTTGGAGTGGATTGGCTGCAGTCCTCTGCATAATAGGTGGTCACGTACTCCAGCCTGGGATAAAATAGTTAGATGCTCTCAAGACTGTGAGGCTGTGGGTGAGAAGTAAGAGGAGGACTGAGGGACCCCAGGAAAGTTCCCCAAACCCTTGAGTGACAGTGGTAGAGACAGAGCCTCTGGTCTATCATCCCAGAAGCCTCTGGAGAGATCTTATGCTATTTGGGGTCTGTCTAGGGAACTCTGTAACAAGTAAATAGTCTTGTAAGTTGAACTGAGACAAAAAGATACGAGACAAGGCATTGGGGGTGTGGGGTAGAATGTGGACAGGATGACATAAGCGAATTGGTCTCTAGTTAATTCCCAAACAAGGAGGCAGAGAATCTTCCAGAGTATGCAAGGAACTCAGAGCAACCAGTTTAATATGTATTCATTGGAAATCTACTACCCAGCCCAGTGCTAAAAGCTGTTGGGTATAGATGAATAAAACAGTGTAATTGGCTGTATACATGGTAATACATTGACTAACATTTGTTTACCTGTGCCTGGCACTTTGTGTTTTAATCTCATTTAATCCTTATGACAGGTGATACTATTATTATTTCATTTAAGAGAAGAGGAAACTGAAGCACAGACAGGGTGATTTTTCCAGTATCACACAGCTAGTATGTAGCATAGCTGTGATGTAAGTCTAGACCACCTGACTCCAGAACCTGAACTTTTAAATGTTTATACCCAGGACCAATAGCTTTATATACCCTAAGGAAAATGTTCATGTGTGGAAAGAGGTTGAAGTTCAAACACCTTTTAACAAAATTTTTAATTAAAAATAAATTTAAAACACCCAAAATATTCACCAATAAATGACTACGGACTAATAATGAAAATTATTATAATTACCATTTAGCTCTTTGTTTTGTTCCACACACTGAACTATTGTTTATCAAAATTATTTCATTTCTCTTTTCTACAACTTTATAAGATGCCTCCTTTAACTTTGCTTTGCTTCATTTTACAAATGAAGACGTTGAAGCTCAGGAAATTTGAGTAACCTGTCCATTGTTGTGCAGCTATCAACTGGTGAAGCTGCAATTAGAGTTTAGTCTACTGATTTCAAGTTCATATTCCCAAACGTGGTTTACTCTTATGAAGTGATTAAAAGATATTTTTGGAATGGTTTCAATGCTTATGAGAGAAGTAGGGAAAAAACCCCAACCAGCCATCAGGATACACATTGAACATCTAACATGCGACTAATTCTAATAAAACTGAATGCACAGAAGGAGGGAGATTTGCAAAAATATTAAGTGATTATCTCTGGGGAGGGAAGTAATTTTTATTCTCTTTTTTTTGTGATTTTCTGCAAGTTCCACAGTTTCTGCAATGAGCATGTATTCTAATTAGACTCTTCCTGGAAAAAGAAAAGTTTTAAAAAGTATTAAGAAAGATAACAGAACCAGAAGCTGTGGTCCTGGCCTTAGAGGTGCTTGCAGCTGGGAAGCAGAGTCACTTCTGTGACCCTTGTCACCTCCTATCCAGTCTCATGGGCATCAATGTCCAGGATCTTCTCTCCTTGAGGGCAGTGTTGGGGTCATGTTAACACTTGAACCTCCATGATTCCCAGCACACATTGGGAATCTAAGGAGTGCTTCTGGGGCTTTTTGTGTGAAAACAAGGCAGAACACATGTTACATTAAAGAGTCTTAATTGTGAATAGGACTAATCAGAATATTGCTTCCACTTGTTGAGATCCTACTAAACATCAGGCTGCGTACTAAGTGCTTTTTGTTGTTGTTTAGTCCCTAAGTTGTGTCTGACTCTTTGCAATGCCCTGAACTGTAACCCAACAGTCTCCTCTGTCCATGGGATTTCCCAGGCAAGAATACTGGAGTGGGTTACCATTTCCTTCTCCAGGGGATCTTCCCTACCCAGGGTCGAACCCACATCTCCTGCATTAGCAGATGGATTCTTGACCGCTCGGCCACCAGGGAAGCCCTATACTAAGTGCTTTACATACATTATTTTTGTCCTCCAGACTAAATGAGGATAACACGGTGAGACTGCATTTTCTATACCTAACCCTGCTGTCTTGGTCCACTCTCTACCCAGTTCTGGACCCCAGGATGTGACCCCCAGAGCCTCATCTCCCGGCTTTCTTATTGGATAGCTTCTGGTTCACACTGACCCACTGAGGACGCATCAGCAGGAGATCAGGGCAGAGCAGAGTGAGGTCAGGGTATTTCTCTGCTTCCTCCTGCTTTGAAGCCTGACTGTAGTAACTGCTCTCCCTGATGAGCTGCTGTCAGTAGCGTCTCCTTCACAGCTTACATTCTCTTAGGATATTCCTTCTCTTTGCTTCTCCCAGTACCCTGTTGTTAGATTTAGGTGCATCAACACCCCATGTTGCTTTCCTTAATATCACCCACCCTCTCTAAGGAGTTCTGCCTGCTCTCTTTAGCTGACTCAGGTGAGTAGAGTCGTGTTTACTGCTGAGACCCAGAGAGATAGGGTGTCAGTGATCCTGATGAATCACAGATAAGGAAGCAGAGGTTTGCAATTCCCTGGTGTCTCACTTGGTAAAGAATCCTCCTGACAATGCAGGAGATGCAGGTTCGATCCTTGTGTCGAGAAGATCCCCTGGAGAAGGAAATGACAACCCACTTTAGTGTTCTTGCCTGGGAGATCCCATGGACAGAGGAGCCTGGTTAGTTACAGTTCAGGGGGTTGCAGAGAGATGGACATGACTTAGTGACTAAACAATAACAAAAAAGCAGAGATTTGAAAAGGAGTCCAAGGTGACTCATATAGTCAGAAGTGGAGCTGACTCTGAACCCAGGTTGTCTGTCTGATTCCAAAAGGCCCTTCCCACTGTGTCCTGGGATTCTGGTTCTGACAAGCTGAATCTTCCCTTTGAAAGCAAAGAGCAACAGCCCTGAAGAAAAGCTGCAGTCTAAACCTGCCTCCTGTGAAGCCACCAAGACAAAGTGCCCGCGGGTCTGATCCACTGACATCCATCCTGGGCTATCGCTGTTGTGGCTTCTTCCCAGTTGCTGGTCTGCTAAATGTCCAGCCCACGGGGCAGGGATAAATGTTTCA